GGCAAAAGCCGGCGGGCCCGCCGCCGCCGCTGCCCCCCCGTCGCAGCGGCGGCGGCGGCGGCGGCGGCGAAGCATCGCAGGGGGGGGCAGCGCGAGGGGGCGGCCCCTCAGCGCCGCCGCATGCGGTGGTGGCTAGTGTCACGGCCGAGGTTGAAGCTCCGCGGCAGGAGGTCTGCGCCGGCCTGCGGGTGCTCGCCGGGCTAGCCGCGCACGAGGCGTGCGTGCCGCTGGTCCTGGAGAGCGAAGACCTCGGGTGCCTGTTGCAGGTGGGTGGACGGATGGCGTGGGAGTAGTGGCTGTGCAGGCGACCTTGACATTTTTTTCCTTGAAAAGCGGGAAGGTGGTTTGGCGGCTGGGGGGGAGTTGCGGTGGACCGTACGGAATTGTGAGGGATGCAAGTGTATGGGTTACACGGCACAGTACGCGACCTCGGGGGGCTACGTGGATGTTGGTAATATGATGGGTATGACGCGCGAGGCTTGATCCTTGCTTCACCCTTGTCTCTCACTCGCTAACCTTGGCAAGAACTCGAGATAAGAGCTCTGTTGGAACCACGGGCCATCCTTCTATGCGAGACGCTCTCGACAAGAGCTCGGGAGCGCGTGGTAACCAGGTACCCGCACTAACACCCCAAACAGCTACCCTTGCTGGGACCACGAAACATCCTCACCCCCCCCGCCCCTCCTACCTCTCGTGTGTGCGACAAACAGGTAATTCGCGAGGCGATGACGCCGACGTCGGCTGCTGGACGGGAAGCGTCAGGAGGCAGCGGGCACCGGGTCAGGGCCGAGATGAGGGAGGAAGTGGAGGACGCCCTGCGCTGTCTGCTGTCGCTGACGGCGCGCCCGCAGCAGCGGTCGTCGCTGAACCGTGCGCTCGGGCTCGTCGCGACCTCTCCCGCCCACCCGAGGCTGGACGCCCTGCTCAACCTCGCCTCGGTTGAGGGGGGTCCCGCACTACAGGTTCGTTCGGTCGCCCCCCCCCTCCCACCCCCCCCGGTGTTTGCCATGGGGGTCGAGTTTCCTCTCTTGGCAACGACGTTGTAAAACAAGCCAATTCACTTCGTGAACTCGGCAACCAGGTTACCGTTTTTTTTTTTTTACCTCCGGTTTTTTTTTGGCGGTAACCATAATGGTGGTCGAGTAGATCATGTTGTGCGGG